CATTATTCAGTATTTTTCCTGTATTTGCCTTCATTGTTTCAATTCAAGACTTGAATTTGTTCTTCAGTTCTTTCAGTTTGAGAAATGCTTAACATGTTCAAGACTTGAATTTGTTCTTCAGTTCTTTCAGTTTGAGAAATGCTTAACATGTTCTACCTTTTAGTTTTCTAACTCTAGGTCTTTGCACATTTCATTATAATACTTGACTCTGTCTTCTAGCTGCCCTTTGAAATGTTCTGTTTAGCTCTTTTACCTCCTCTTTTATTCCTTTTGCTTTTTCTTCTCTATGCTCAAAAGCACATTTCAGAGTCTCTTCTGATATCCATTTTTGCCTTTTCTTGCTTTCCTGCCTTTTTAATGACCATTATGCTATCTTCAGGTAGGATGTTCTTGATGTCATTCCACAACTCTTCTGGCTTTCAGTCATTGGTGTCTAATGCATCCAGTCTGTTCTTAAGATGGTTTCTAAGTTTATTCAGGTGATATGCATATATATATAATTTTTTTATTGGGAATTATGTGTTGGTTTACATGGGTGAACATTATCTTTACATTCATCCTGTCGTATTTTGTTTCATTGCAATGATCACAATCATCACATGCATCATCAAACAGCCAAAGGGTACACCTCACATGTCTGCCTCCCTGGCTACCAGAACACAACCCTGCTCCCTCCCTGAGTCCAGAGTCCCCAGCCACTCCTTCTGTCCATGTCATTGCCTCAGTCTCCATCACTGCCTTTACAGACGGGTTGCTTTTCTCCCTTGATGGATCTCTGCTCCTGAACAAAATCAGCCACTCCCCTCCTTTTGTTACCAAACATTTACATTTACTTTCACACTCACTGTCAGACCCAATAGCAATCATTCCCTATTGAACCACAGGAGTCCTTTTCCCCTCACCTTTAATTTACCCCATCCAAGACAGGTTGGCAACAATTCAGTGGAGGTTCTACCTTTCCCTGTATCCTCTGTATCCCTATTGAAAGTTTGTAAGCCAGTCACTTCCTGCCATTGTAATCCCCCATTTTGGGTAGCCAATGTCTAAGTTCTTCCTCTCAGGTGAGATGTATTAAAGGTCATATTTTGACTCTCATGGATTTGTTTCAGTTTTCTTCAGCTTCAGCCTGAATTCACATATGAGCAATTGATGGTCTCTTTCACAGTTTGCCTCTGGCCTTGTTTTGAATTTTGATATTGGACTTTTCCACTGTCTCTTCCCAAAAGATGTAGTCAGTTTGATTCCTGTGTATTTCATCTGGTGAGGTTCATGTGAATAGTTGCCTTTTGTGTGCAATGAATAAGTTGTTGGTCTTTCAAAATTTAATCATGCCAACTCCAGTATCAGTTCTATCATCAAGACCATATTTTCCAACTACTGTCCTTCCTTTTTGTTTCCAACATCCACATTCCAATCATCAGTAATTATCAATTCATCCTGATTGCATGTTTGATGAATTTCAGACTGAAGAAGTTGGTGGAATTCTTCAATTTCACCATCACTGGCTTTAGTGATTAGTGCATACATTTGAATAATAGTGGTATTAACATATGGATAGTATCCTCTCACAGACAGCATTGTTCTTCAAGATCGAGCTTGCATGTTTTCTTGTTTTTACAATGAATATGATACCATTCCTCTTGAATTTGTCAATCCAGCATAGTAAACCATCTAATTGTCAGATTCAGAATGGCCAATATCAGCCCATTTTAGCTAACGAATGCCTAGGATATCAATTTTTATTCATTCCATTTAGTTTTTAACAACTACCAATATTCCTAGATTCAAACTTCATACATTCCATGCCTAACTATTAATGGATGTTACAGCTGTTTCTCCTCATTTTGAGTTGTGCTCCACTAGCAAATGAAGATCCCCAAAGCTCTATTCTAGTCATGTTATTATGGTCAATTCTACCTAAGGAGTCAGTGCTTCCTTAGTTGTATTTTGAGTGCCTTCCAACTTAAGTGGCTCATCTTCCAGCACTATATCTGACAGTATTCTACTTGTATTCATAAGGTTTTTGGTGGCTCACCATTCAGAAGTGGCCCACCTCTCCATCTTCTTAGTCCATCTTAGTCTTGAAGCTCCCTGCAACCTGCTCTTCCATGGGTGACAATGCTGGTATTTCAAATACTAGTGCCGTAACTTCCAGCATCGTAGCAACACACAAAGTCACCACAGTACAACAAACCGACAGATTAGTAGGTAAGCATGAATAAGCCTAAAATTAATTACCTTACTTATTGGGTAATCTACACTGGAAATATGTGAGAGGAAGGGAGGACTGTTGGTACAGTGAGAGGGCTGGCCAGGAGGCATGGGAAGAAAGGAATGTGGGCCTTGGATTTGGGTTTTGTGGGGACTGGGGTAGCTGACCACAGAGGTAGGAGTCCAGGGCTTCTCTTAAAGTGAGGAGGGAAGTGACGATTTATGGGATTGTGATTGCCTGATGGATTTTACTGCCAAGTTAAAAAGACAAACTCATTCCCACCTTGGATCTTCCGTTTATTTTTCAATTTGCTTTTACCCTTACTCAGTGTTTTCCAGAACCTGACATAGGCCTTTCCCCACCGCATTTCTAGGTCAGTGATATATCTCCTGTAGCTTTACAAAAATTTTTAAAAATCCTTTGAAATGTCACTTTAAATTCTCCTGCTCCCTCTGGGTTGAGTTTACTCATGTATTTCTAAGAATTAGGTCATTGGTGTTTTACAAAACAAAGGGGAAAAGGGTCTTACTGATGTGGTCTCATCTTACTTCACACTTGCATTATGTATTTTATGCTTTGCATTCTCAGAGGCTATACAAGTAGCAAGCCTGTAGATTTGTCAGAAAAACTGCCTTTATTTATTTTTATGGGCTTTTCCCAGTCAGAACTCTTTTTTGCTGAAGAAGTTTAAAATAAGATGAATCATATGTTTATACACTGTATAAAGATTTACATCTAAAAACTACCCAACATCTTCATAATGATCAACAGAGAAAAGTTATGTAGATTTTAATTTTTAATGTGATTTGTGTTTTTAAAAGCAAACATCTTGGTGCTAGTCTTAAAAGGTTGCCTTTTATGTGTCAAAAATTGAAAACTAAATAAATTATACTAAATTTTTATAGGAAAATAGATTGACACCCCCCCACACCAAATAGCATTGAGTTTCCACTGACTCTGTTTTGATTCCCTCTAAATTCTGTAGATGTTCATTCATGAAACATTTATTCATTCATTCCTCTTCATTTATTGGACACAGATAGTGTACCAATTACTGCACTCAGACACAGGCCTGACCATCCAGTCCCAGCCCTGGCTCAGTTGCTTGACTCCTTCAGAAGACTTAGGGGTCTGGGAAGACAGGATGGCGTCTTTTTTTCTCTATGACCATAAATCCTTGGACAGAGTCTGTAAGAATAATAATACAGGCTATAAACACCCAAGGGCTGTTAAACTAACACTGATCATGCGTGGCCCCATGTGCATCAGAGAAGACTGTGCTCCATAAGGTTTTCAATGACTAACTTTTTGGAAGTAGATCTCCAGCCTTTCTTCTGCTGCAGTATCTCTGGATAGACTCTAACCTCTAACCCTTTAGAACTACTCAGGAACTCTAATTGTTGTGTGTTAAGTGCCATGGAGTTAGTTCTAACTCATAACAACCCTATGTAGGGTTTCCAAGGAGCAGCTGGTAGGTTTGAACTGCTGATCTTGTGGTTCTCAGTCCAGTGCTGATCCTACTGCGCCACACCAGGAGTCCTATAGCTTAATTTATTAGAGCAGGAACTCCATGGTAGTTCATAATGAATTAATGAGAAATCAGATTGACCTAGTTGATGAGTTAAAGAGCTTCCCAGTCAAGCATAAGAAACCAAAGATCTCAAGGAGGAATGAAAACGGCAAGTGTTTTGTCAAACTCAATACTATTGTCCTTTGGAAAAGGCTCAGAAGTTATTTTCTGAAAGATACTTTTGTTTCTTGATGAGTTACTTACTTTTTTATCTTTTTCTTCTAGCTGCTTGTTGGGATTGTGGCCTTTCTGAGTGGAATTCTGACACTACACCTTCCAGAAACCCTCGGGAAGCCTCTGGTGACTACTTGGGAGGAGGTGGCAAGACAGAGAACAGGAAAAGATAGCAGTTCAGGCAGACTGCTTCCTACAACTGAGAGTGTTGTGTTGGACAAAATAGAAGTGGTCAACACAGGGAATTCTGTTCTTTGTGAATGAATAAATGTGCCCTATGTGCTGTCTAGCACCTGAGATTGTTTACATTAATTAATGCCTTTGTATTAGAGGAATTTCATTCTTATCTCATACATATTGTTTATATATGTCTTTTCTTATTTTATTAGAAGTTTAAAACATTTTTTTTTTTGTAAAAGTAAAAGAAATAAAACCCAAGATGAGAACTCTCATTTAAATTTTTTACTGCTGCGAAGTATTTTTCTGCATCTGTTCTTTTGTGTCATTGATTCTCCATCTTTGCTTTCCTACAAATGTCCCTCCCCACTCCCACCCCTGGGACTGTCATCTGAGGAAGGCAGTGTGAGAGTGTTGCTTTTGACAAAGTCCCTTAAGGATTGTATTTATTCTCTGCTTTTTCCTCCTATAAGAAGCATAGCTCTAAATTCAAATCTTATTCAAAAATGCCTTTGTTAACAAATGTTTGTTTTCAGAATTTAACTGTCAATATTGCATCTAAAAAAAAAAAAAGATATATTGCTTAACAACACCCCAAATGTAGGTTTGAATGTTCAGACAAATGTGCTTGTGTGAGGAATGAGGTTTCTAAGTATTCTTTTTATTTTTTCTCAAATTTGCCAAATCCTCTATATTAATTGCCTTGGCAGTACAGAGAAGCTGTGGTATTTTTGTGGGTTGCAAACGTAAAAAATTTGTGATCACCTAGAAATTTGCCAATGTAAAAACACACATAAAACCAAAAAAACTTAAGTACTGTTGCCTTTTTTTTTTTTGGTAATTTATGTGAAGATTTTACTTTCTTTTTAAGTACTAAAATTTCCCCTACTCCACTTCAAACCATAGTTTTGCAGAAAATCAGTTTAATATCATAGCTATCTCAACTGCAGTATGATATCGTAATCTTGTCTGTTAGAGAAAGGCATTCTAGTTTTACAGCATTTGCTATAAAGTTTTGTCTTTTCCTTTATCATAAGTTCATTCATTTTTGCTTTGGGCTTGAAATGTAGCTGTTGACTATGTCTTATATCGAGTGCATTAGAGCTGATGAACTATAAGTGTTATCTTCAGAGGCAAGTGAAAGATGGATTAAGCCAATTATATAGATGCTATGAGTTTAAAGAGCATCGCTAGGGGGAGAAAAACAAGGATTTGACCTGAATTATTTAGACTTTTTATATTAATTTAGTTCCCTGGGTAATTGATTAGTTCTTCACTTACTCATTTTGCTTGTAAAGTAAAAAATAAAACCAAACTCTTTCCTACTTTCCTAAGAGGAAAACAACAAAATAAATGAAGTGAGTAAGAAGATATGAGAAGGAAGATCTTTATACCTTTCTTTATCCTTTCTCTATCTTCTTTCATCTCTTCTTTTTTCCCCATCCTTAGCCTTGATTTTTCTACTGTCATGCAAAATTTTTCTTAACTTTTAAAAAATGTTCCTTGCAAACATGCCTAGGTATAATTTGAACAAGAAAGTTTCCCCAAATAAGTCCACAAACTGAATGTAACTCAATCAGAACCCCACTTTTTGGTGTGTGTATATGTGTAAAGCTTATTAGACAACATGTTAGAACAAAGAAGAGAAAATGGAGATTTGTCTACTAGCTGTTTGATGTGAAAGCATGCTATAAAACTGTAGTAATTAACATTGTGCCCTTCTTGGCAATTGAGCAGAATAGGGAGTCTAGAAACAGACCTGTGCATGTTTAGTCATCTAGAATGTGGTCAAATTGACATTTCCAACCAGGGTAGACTATCCATTTGGAAACAAGTAGTTTAACTTCCAACCCAAATCGCTAAACAAAAATAAATTCCTGGTGAATTTAAGTTTTAAGTCTTAAAAAAGAATCTCAAAATACAATATGAAAACAGAGAAAAATTATATGCTGGGGTGGAAAAAATCATTCTGAAAAGGAATACAAAACTTGAAATCATAAAGGAACAGACTGATACATTTGATTTCATAAAAACTGAATTCAGCTTTTCCTCCCCGGCTGCCTGAGCATCTGCCCCCATCATGAACGACACAGTAACTATCTGGATAAGGAAATTCATGATCAACCGACTACTTCAGAGGAAACAAATGGTCATTGATGTCCTTCACCCCAGGAAGGCAACAGTACCTAAGACAGAAATTTGGGAAAAACTTGTCAAAATGTATAAGATGACACCAGATGTCATCTTTGTGTTTTGATTCATAACCCACTTTGGTGGTAGCAAGACTACTGGCTTCGACATGATTTACGTATCCCTTGAATTATGCAAAGAAAAATGAACCCAAATACAGACTTGCAAGACATGGCCTGTATGAGAAGAAGAAAACCTCAAGAAAACAGCGCAAGGAATGCAAAAACAGAATGAAGAAAGTCAGGGGGACTGCAAAGGCCAATGTTGGTGCTGGCAAAAAGAAGGAATAAAGATTCTGCGATGACTGTGGATATTTTCACCAGAGGATTAATAAACCCTAAAATCTTAAAAAAACAAACAAAACTGAATTCATTTAGCACCATAAATAATGTTGTAAGAAAAGGACAAATTGGGAAGCAGTATCTGTAATTTAATGGCTAGAAATCAAGTTTTAATGTTTACAAAAAACTGGAAATAAAATGTCCAAATTGTGATGAAACTTACTCTCCAGCGCAAAGATGTTAAAACAAATGGAAGACTAGAGGAGGTAAAAGAGCTGAACAGAAGTTTTCAAAGGGCAGCTTGAGAAGACAAAGTCAGGTATTATAATGAAAACCAAAGAGGAAGAACATGCTCAGCATTTCTCAAGCTGAAGAAACTGAAGAAAAAAGTTACGCCTCGACTTGCAATATTGAAGGATTCTATGGGCTTGGCTCCACTATCATTTTGCTTGGATCCACTGTTAATACTCATGGAAGCAGCACTCAAGAAATCAAATGACATATTGCAGTAGGCAAATCTGCTCTACAAGACCTCTTTAAAGTGTTTAATAGTAAAGATGTCAGTTTGAGGACTAGGTTTGACTCAAGCCATGGAATTTTCAATTCCTTCATATGCATGTGAAAGCTGGATAATGAATAAGGAAGACCATAGAAGAATTGAGTCATTCGAGTTATGGTGTTGGAAAAGAATATTAAAAGTACATAGACCTCCAGAAGAACAAACAAATCTGTGTTGGAAGAAGTGCAGCCAGAATGTTCCTTAGAAGCCAGGAAGGCACAACTTCATCTCTCATACTTCAGACATAGTATCAGGAGGGTCCAGTCCCTGGAGAAGGACAAAATGCTTGGTAAAGTGGAGGGTCAGCAAAAAAGAGGAAGACCCCAATGAGATGAATTAGCTGAATGGAAGCAGCAATGGAGTCAAGTGTAAAAACAATTGTGAAGATGGCACAGGATTAGGCAGTGTTTTGTTCTGCTGTGCAAGAGGGTCGCTATGAGTCAGAACTGACTGAGGGCACCTAACAACAATTGTGATGGAGTATTTAAAATATACAAATACCTAGGTACCTACTACTGGGCTTAAGAAATAAAATATTACCTATACATTTGAGAAGTCCTGGTGTGGCACTGTAGAGCTAAGCACTTGACCATAAAGTAGGTTTGATCCGCAAGGTTGGTAGTTCAAACACACCAGCTGCTCCTTAGAAACCCTACACAGGGTCTCTACGAGAGAACCAACTCAATAGCACTTAACAACAACAAACAGTTGAAGGCTTCCTGACTGATTGGAGGATACTAGTCTTCTAACTGTAGGAGATTTCGTTCTTCTGCCTTTCTTTATACTTGTTGCCCATGTATGTATCTCTGATTCAGTCACCATTGAGTTAGGAAATCAGAAATCAGCTGAGGTCGTTCTGGCGGAGAGGAACTTAATGGCAGGGAATTAAGAACAAAAGTGTAGGAAGGACTGGTAGAGCAAAAGGGACCCAGGAACCTGTTTCCACTACTGAGCTAGCACCTACCAGTCTGCACGCTCTACTTTCATCCTAATGCTCAAACCTCATTTCTGCTGCTGACCCAGGTGCCCCACTCCCCCTGATACTTCTGAAACTGCCTTGCATAGTTCCACTTGAATTTAATTTGTAAATCAATTTAGAAAACATTTTCCTTTTTTTTTTTTTTTTTTTTTGGTGTGGTCCTGTGGGTTAATGCACTGGACCACAAGGTCGGTTTGAACCACAAGATTGGTGGTTCAGGCTCACCAGCCTCTCCTTGGAAACCCTATACAGGATCGCTATGAGTCACTAAACAGCAAAACAATAACATTATGGTTTATCTCTCCATTAATGTGGCTCTTCTTTAATAGCATTCAGATCAGTCATTCAAAAGTCATGGATTTTTGTTGTTATTGTTGTTACTGTTACATTTATCCCTATGTATATATATATATATATATGATTTTTGTTGTTATTGTTGTTACTGTTACATTTATCCCTATGTATATATATATATATTTGTTGCTGTTGTTGCCATTGGAAATGGTATATTTCTAATCATTTTATTTCCTGTTTATTGCTGGTGTAAAAAAAAAACGCGACTGATTTTTGTGTGTTGATCTTATATCTGGTAGCGTTGGTGAAAGTCTTTTTAATTCAAAAGAAAACATTTTAAATCTTGCTTTGTTAGGAAACAAATCAGGCTATTATCATAGCAACTGACCAATAACCACACTCCAAGCAAAACATACTTTGTTCCTTCAGCATTTCTTTTTTTTTTTTT